CAAAACGGTCACTCAAGTCAATGTTTCACAAAAGATTCATCAACTGAACCTCCTTGGTTGCAGTAAAAAAGAAATTGGTGTAAGAAAAAAAATCATGACAACGGAATTTCAGAAAGACATCTTAGAAATCTGACAGTTTAATTACTCACTGGTTTGGCAGGTTTCCCCCACAAAACCGTAAGGACAGGTACAGTGGAAGATCTGGCCGTGATTGTGCGCATGACAGCTCCCGCCATTTTGACAAGGATTAGAGTCGCATGCGTCAATGTCTGTGGAAGCGATTGGCCAACTCTAATGGTTAGAGAGCATAATGATCATATATCACATGTCATATGACAAATTTTGACATGAGATGAAGGCTACCAAATTGTTCTTAAAATTATTTTCATCAAGAACCGAGATTTTAAAATCTTCTCTCCAATCTGTGAAACATATTTTATTTGTAGTGTACATTAAAAAAACGACTGGCAATACCCCAAGCCTGTGTACCTACCTGTTAGTTCACGTCCGCTCCAGGTAGCGACCATTGGGGCGGACATGTTTAAAACTAACCAGGATGGTACACATGCAGAAACAATATACATGTAAATGCAATGATGTACATTTGAAAAGCATGTTGTTGTTACTAGTATGAGGCATATCGTTGTGTAAAGTGCTTCCTCACGTGTTTCAATGTGACCGTTGCTATAGTAACAACTGTAGCCGTACAGTCGATCCTCACATGTCCCTCCGGAGTTACAAGGACTGCTCACACAGTTGTCAAAATCTGCCAAGAAAGGTCAGAAAAGTGCACTTTTTAATGATAATACTACACAGTCTTGTGGAGGAAAATAATATAGGATTGCTGATTTTGTTAATGATTTTTTTCTGCCGGCGTCAAAAGTCGTATGTGGTATGTTTTTAACTTAACATTTTGCAGGGAGTTGAGTACTTCTCATAAAGCACTTCCAGATTATGTCGGTAAAATCGCGTTCGCTTTTCTATAGTCAGCTATGAATGAAAAAAGATTACAACAACAAGTGAACAACAACAAAGAATCAAACTACCTATAGTAATTGTTACGTATTAGTTTATTGAATACATGTACAGTCACGGACGCTTCGCACTTACCAGTACACAGGGCGTACTTGTCCTTGAAGTCTAACCCGTTCAGTCCATAGGTGGTGGTGTCGTAGTCAGTACCCCAGGCGCTGTCACCGTACGCCCGGTACGGGTAGTACACGAAGATGTCATCCAGGGGCCGGCAGCTGGCTCCGTGGTCAGGGGAGGCTCCACACAGCGCGTTAGCTAGCACGAACGGGGTGCGGCACTCTCCGTTCACGGCGGTGTAACTGATGCAGTCAGACGTCCAGTGGACGCCTGAATAACACTCGTCGTTGGAGTAGTAGCAAGGGAGGCTCATCCCCGCAGCTTCACATGCCTTTTTCACATTGGTATTAGTCATGGCGCCTGTTACGAGAACTTTGTGGAAAGCCCATCCAGCTTCACTGGTCACATACTGCTGACCTTAAGAGGGGAGACAAAAATAGTAGGATTCAGTAATTACATCTTAGCTTTAGGTGCTGCACCAGCACGAAAGACATTGAATAAAACACTCTAAAGGTCCGGAATAGCAAGGCCAAGGGAATAGCTATTGGCCAAATATGGAATATGGATTGCTATCGTTTAGGTTATTTTCTGTCGATTTTCCTGCACTCTTAACCTTCAGAATGGTCTGGGGTTTATTTCCACCAGATGTTATCATCCCTATGCGTTTGTAATTTGTAACGGACTGAATATTTCTAGAAGCAATTCAAGTCGGCGTAGCCATGTACCCAAAGCAATAGTCATAAAGAAAGGAATTACTTGTCTATCGAAAGACCTAAAGCTATGGGCTCCGAGAAATAGGCATGACTACACTAGTTGTATCACCAATCAAAAGCGAAGTATTGCCGCCCTACACAAAAATTTCTGATGCATATACATGCATATACATATACATATCTAGTACCTACCTTGCGACAGGGCTACCGCCTCGATTATACAAGTGATAAACAAGAGCATCTTCGCCATCGTAGTTGTAAAGCAGGACTACTTTTTTGTGTTTCAAGATCTTGTCAAAGAAACTACGTCACGTCTTCAGCAGTCCCTGGGAGTTCCACAGCTGCCTCACCGGTCAGGACACTTGAGATGAAAGGCTTGTTCTGACGTCGGGCATGTGTACGGGTCAAACTAGTGAGGATATCCTTTGGGCGCTGTTCTTTGATAGTTCATATTTATAGACATATCTCTGTTAACATTAGGTCACAAATTTGATTACTAACGTTTGATATTCCGCAAAGAGATAACCTTAGTTGACCTTGCATCGATTGCAAGTTGCCCTGGGAACGCACAGAGTCAGAGCGAGTGACGACATAAAACAATATGCTGATTGTTACTTAACGTTGCATATCCATTACCGAGATGTACGGTTCAATAGATATCACATTTTTCCTCGAAAAAAATGCTGATGACTGTTAGATGGCATAGATTTAATTTTTATCATTTGATATGTAGAATTACCTTCCAATTGCACCTACGTGTGTAGATGAATGGAACTGCACATCCTCTCGCATTATAATTCAACACAGCTTTACCTCCCTTTCAAATGACTATTAGAGTCAAACTCCAGTTGTTTTATGTATGGTGCTTTGCGACTAGCCTTTAAGTAAGTGAGTGTCAAAGAGGTTCTCTGTGATGATTTCTATTCTTTTATTCTTCCACCACTGGAATAGTGCTTTAACCCCAATGGTTTGTATTCAGGTTTCAAGCTGTTCAAGTTCAAGGTAAGATATGTGGAGGAAGTCGTTTGTTGGAGATGAAACCGATTGAACTCTGTGATGACGCGTGGTCGTACGTCAGCCACGGATGCAGGAGTACCCAGCTGTTCCATCCTCCCTGCAGTTCCAACCGGGACCGCAAGAGAACGCGGTGCAGAAGCCAGCACTTGGTGGCCCTCACAGCAGATGGTACTGCAAAAATACGTCAGGTACATATTGTCAAGATTTGTATCGCTTGGAGTTAATTTTATTACGTAGAGAAATTGAGCTGCAGTACGGCAGAGCAACAACCAATGTCTGGCCACTGCCGGTAAGACGAAAATTGAACATAAGACACGCAGCTGAATGTTTCCTACCTGCACAGTGAAATCCACCTGTTTGGCCCACACAGGTCCAGTCAAACGGACAGGGGTTCGGGTCGCACAGGTCGGCTGGAATACAAAATATAAACAGTGAGAATAGAATGATACTAATTAGTCCAGTCTACTGAGCACCCTATTTGTATACGGCAGCCTTGCAATTAGTCAATATAATAATAATTTGATTTCATGAATAAAATGCTACATCAACATCTACATCTACATGCACACATGTATCTGTTTATGTGACTGCTGTATATACTAAATTCAAAACAGTTTGACATTGCGTTGTCTTTGAAATGATGTATGAAATGAACACACCTGTTTCACAGAAGGTTCCCGTGTGGCCCTGAGGACAGGTGCAGAAGACACTGGAACCGTCAAAACACGAACTGCAGACTCCGCCGTTCTGACACACGTCCGGCTGGCATGACGTCACGTCTGGAAAGTAAAGTCCACAAAGTCCCAAGTATTATGCAATAGGCTATGGTACCTGCAGGAATGCCCTGTCAAAAAGCAGCGGTTGCATGCATATACCGGGGCAACCGCTATTTTTGAAAGCTGACAGGAGGCACGGTGCAACAGGAGAAGGCAAGGCTTGCAAACTACGGTGGCCCGTAGTGAATTAAACACAACCGTCAGCTGTTAATTAAGCTGTTAAATTTTGCTCTCTGACTTGTGTCTTGAACAAACTAGGATGCCCTGGTCGTGAAGAGTATGTACTCACTTGTTTCACAGACGTACTGATGTTGGTCGTTACATGACTGGTAGGTTCCCAGATAGCCCACGGAGCTGTCCAGTAGCACACACACGTCAATCTTGGTACTTCTCTGCATCCAGGGAGCCGTCGCTACAGATGGTCAGTAAACAGCCGTGATCATATTTGCTTTATTTAGCCTTTTTTGCCAATCGCACCAGCAAATGCTAACCCTGTATACACAGAAAACATTCCCCTAGAGGTTTTCTCAACTCTGGATCTAGAAACGTCAACGACGATGACACAACAACAGGTTCTGAATGTGGAACCTATATATTGGACTAGTCCAGTACAGTGCCTTTACCACTTTGTTTTTCTATTTTTGGCGACGCCTTAGGGGCGGAGGCAACACCTTGGCTAATTAAAATGTTGGGTTATCATGAACTCAAATTCAAACATGGTTCAGATGAAAAATAAGAAGTGATTACCAGACAGAGGAGTGTTATCTGTACAGTCACACAGTCCGAACGGAGACACGCTTGTACTGGCGGAGATCCAGGTGCTGACGTCATGCCCCACCTGTATGTAGCTGGCGAGCAGCTGCTGGTCACCGCTGTCCTTTATGTCGGCCAGGTGCCCGCCTATGCTGTTACAGACAGCGGAGGCCTCCTGGTATGTCAGGCTGTCGTTGGAGAAGCGGTAGCACTTGTCGATGTGCAGCACTGGGACAGAGAGAAAACAATATGGTATTTGTATTGGAATAAAACCTGTAGTAGTAGCTGTTCTTTATAAAATGTGGGATGGTGTCCCAAGTAACGCACAAGTAATTCCTGTTAGCCTAATGCCTCAGTAAATCATTGATTCCATCTATGTTAAGGTCAGTAAATGAAGACTATACCTGTTTCACAATTCTTCCCCGTCGTGTGAGGATGACAGACACAGCTGTAGCCGCCCACCTCATCCATGCACGTCCCTCCAGATAAACACGGATTGCTTGCACAGCTGTCAATCACTGCAGACGATACAGGGTTGGAGGAACACGTTTAACAACATCCAAGTAATGAAGACGAGGAATCCTTCTGTGTATAATAATGTGGAAAAGAGAATCGATCTTGACCTGCTCACCTTCCACTCAGACCAATGTAACTAGTCTTGCCAACTTGTGAAAGAAGTATTTGGTGTTTTTGAACTGACCTTCTAACCTCCTGTCATTCTGCCGGTCAATTTTCCCCACTCACCTGCTGTCAACCTAGAGTCAGGACATACAAACCACAGCTCAACCACCCAAAACAATACATACGATGTACTCGGAAGTAAATATCCAACCTTCATCACAGTGTTCTCCGGTCCAGTCCACATCACACAGACAGGTGTAGTTCTTCACCCCGTGCACACAGGTCCCGTGCACACATGGGGAGATCTGGCACTGCCGGGCTGAAGAGGGATCAATACTACTTGTCAATACTTCTGTTTTTATCCTATCAACAATTGCTTACTTTACTTCATATCTTCATTGCCAACTTTTTGACCCAGAACATACGACGAACAGAGTGTTCGATGTATATTTGTGAATTGGTCAAAAAGGTATAATTGCCAGCAATATACCAGACCTTCATGCATAAAAGACGCTGTCGTTTTATAGATTTTTAGATGATCGAGATTAGAGGTATTATCCATGTTAGTAATGTTAATCAGAATTTGATTTAGGACTATCCTTACCTGCACAGAGAGCGTACATATCCTTGTAGCTGTCCCCACGCAAATTGCTGTATGAGCCGTACCTTATCCCCTGGCTGTAGGCGTGGTTGGGAGAGTACACGAAAGTGTAGTTCAGGGCCATACAGTAATAATCTGTCGCGGTCCTACACAGCTGGCCGGCGAGGGCTGTGGTAGTCTCACAGCTGCCTCCGGCGTGGTCGAACTTGATGCAGTTGTCGCTGTAGTAGTAATGTTGCACACACGGGTCGTGACCTGTGTACCAGCAGGGGTAGCTCATCCCCGCACGCTCACATGTCGCCTGGATGTTGGCGTTCAACATCGTGCCTAAAGCACGGATTTTAAAAAAGGCCCATCCGTCCCAGGTTGTCAGGTGCTCTTGGTGGCCTTGTAGAGAAAACAGACGAACAACTTGTAAATAAATGATTCTGGCTTTAAACCCAGAATGCAGAGGCTGAAAAAAAAAAACAAGTGGCCGGTGAGACTTTTTGTGTGATTTCTGGACGCCTTGTAAATGGTTATGCCCGGGTTATGTTATTGCTTGACGTACGATTATATTGTGTATGTTGGTATGAATAATCAGTCACCCTTACTTGCACACAGAGCGTACTTGTCGGTGTAGTCCGCCCCTGTCATACCCCAGTGGCCCGTGTCGTAGTCAAGACCAAAGGCGCTGTCGTCACTCTGCCAGCCGGGGGAGTACACGAAGGTGTCATCCAGCGGTTTGCAGGTGTGGGCTTCAGTAGTTCCGCAGAGCAGGTCTGAGATCACGTTCAGGGTACGACAGCTCGCGCTGCCGCCGTCAAACGAGACGCAGTCCGTCCTGCCGTGGCCGCACGCGCCGTGGCCGGTGTACGAGCAGGGGTTCCACATACCCGCAGCCGCGCAAGCCGCCTGGACGTTAGTGTTAGTCATGGGGCCCACAGTGGGCACTTTGTGGAAGTCCCATTCGCCAATAGTGGCCAGATACTCTTGCTGACCTGTTGGAATTTAGAAAAAAATAATGAAAATTTGGTATCTGCACATCCTTTTATAACTTTTTTATGCCAGGAACTGCAAAATTAAAACCGCTAAAATACCCTTACACAGCATGCATATGACTAGTTTGACTAATATCTTAGATCTTGTCCTCTGTTCGACCTATCACATGCATGCCCACCTGTAGAACAGCCCGTCCACGCGACTAAAGCCGCCGCAAAAAGAAGGAGCGTCGCCATCCCTGCCTTCTGTCAGGTTAGCGTCAGACTGCGTGTCGTGTGGACAGGCCTGTGTGTGTACGTTTACTCGTAATGCCGCGTCCTGGGGGCATGGGAAACATACATCTGTATGTCAGGGACAGGTGGTGTAATGATATCTATAAAATACCAATGTTACCATGGTAGTTAGGTCACCGTCACCCTTACAATTGTTTCCTACAAGCATCTGCGTTGTGGTCGCGTGTTATTTCTCTAGTGGTTCACATAGGACATAAAACTGTCATCATGCGGACAACTTGGATCTACCATATGAGTACAGCCTAAAGACGACTGAACCAGATAAAACTTTTGACGGCAGATTTCTTCTCACTAGATACCGAAAAACGCGGCTATAACATACATGATATCCAGCACGGCGTAGCTAAAGCTGTATCTGCCACATCTCCAAGTAGATCTTCTGGTGCTGCAAAGACAGTATCAAATTGGCCAGGCAGTATCCATTTGCCACTCAGTTACAATTTGCCACCTGTTAGGCTAGTACAAAAAAGAGAGCCTGATAAAAACGCCTAAAACGCGACAAAAATAAGCCGAAGCCTAAACCTCTGCCTTGAGAGTAACATGTGACCACTGGAAGGTAGCCCATAAAAAGAAACATGGCCTTTTCTCCACAGGCCACAGATAAAGACATGCATACAGTGGTTAAGGTGCTAAACAAACATGCATATATGTGTACTTTCTTTCAAGTGTCACGAGTCTCTACATTCGTATAGGTATAGGTGACTTTGCTAAGAGATGGCAATGAACGTGGCAATCTTCGTGGACGTACAATTGCAATGTATGCATGAACTATACATGGCATGTTATATATCTGACTTTTAAATGTACATCGCAGAGGCGGGTCGCCTCTTTTCCTGTTGCCCACCAACAGCTAGGCAGCTCCAGCTTACTCAGCTGTGTCATTCCCATAGCCTTGGGGCTCAAAATACATGCATTTCCACCCATGACCAAACTCTCCGCAATCGTTACAAAGTTTTAAAAAACGAACGAAGTCAAACGGCCACAGCAAATGTTTTGATGGTGCATGCTGAAAATTCCTGCTACATCATGTTTTGTACAATCCTGTCGTTTAGCCCGTGTGTGCTAGTGTGATGATGAAAAAAACAATGCTACTTGTTTTCTGTGACAGCATTTTTTAAAGTTATTATGTTCACTGGAATAAAGTAAAGAAGGTTTCTCATACATCAAAATGAGATACACATTGCAGAAATGTTGAAGTTCAAGCCTTGGTTGAGATGGTTAATTCCTATACTTGTATTTCTCACGGAAAACATACGACGTTATCAAAGCATTTCAGGGAACTTGTTGACCAGTAATCCAACCTCTGACAAGTGAGTAAACGTACTACTTTTGTCTATTCCCGCTTTCTCGCCATAATGAACATCATCCGAGCCGTGGTATTTTGCACAACATCTTTATTCAATTTTGTCTTCTTCCATTACAAGTAACTTTTCAGTCAAGTAGTTGGTGTTTAGGGTGTTACACTTTTCTCTAGCAATTTCTGTACCGAGGGCAAGGCAATGAGGACTATGATGACATGTCAGCCACTAAGACAGAAGTATCCAGCTGTATCATCTTCCTTACAGGTCAGACCTGGACCACAGGGAGCCGCGGCACAGAAACTCGAACTACTGGTTCTCTCTCGGGATGGTACTGAGGAGGAAGAGAAAGGATCATTTAGATGAGACAAACATGGAAGTATACAGGGTTATTATTTGAATGAGTAATCGTGTTAGGTCAAAGTTGAATGCCAAACCTGTCGACCAGACATAACAGCCTTCCAGGTTTACAGATTATTCTACACTGGTTTCCATTACATTGCCTCCACCTGACTATTTACCAATGCCGATATACCAACATGCGTATGTACCTTTGTCACACCAAACCATGACTTCATCAAATGTGGAAGCATATAAAAGTATTGCTGTTTACCATATCAGAGAAAGAGTGTCTGTTTGTGGAGAAGCTCAGACACAAAAAGCCAGAAAAAAAGACTAAAAATGTACCTGCACAGTAGATTCCACCATTTTGGTTCACGCATGCCCAGTCTAACGGACATGGGTTTGGGTCGCACCAGTCAACTGTAAGGCAGATAGGACATGTTGAGCTTGAGAAGACACTCAAAGTGTTACATGAATGATTCAAATGTAACGTATACGTAAGGCAGCTTACAATGGATAAGATGCAAACGCCATGGAAACAATGTCTTGTGGGCTCGTGTGGCGTAGCGGCAGAGTGCTCGACTCGGAACCAAGAGGTCCCGGGTTCGAGTCCTGACATGCCACCGATCTTGTGCCCTTGGGAAAGGCACTTTACACGACTTTCCTCACTTCGGTCTGGTGAAAATGAGTATTGTATTGTCCCCTGTGTTGGTGGCGGCATTAATATATGTTGGAATATAAAAAAACAATGTCTCAATCTGAGGATCATCCCGGGCCAAAAGACTGGCCAAATAAAATGTTGTAAGAAACAACATGTTACCTGTTTCACAGAAGGTACCGGTGAACCCTTGGGGACAGTCGCAGAACACGCTGGAATCACCGAAACAAGACGAGCAGTTTCCTCCATTTTGACACTCGTTGATTTGACATGTCACAGCCTCTAAAGAACAACGGAAAATAAACGTTTAGCAGCGGCGACCATGTCATTAAATGAGATACGTTCTAAAAACTTCTGCTCTACATATAAAGTTCAGCGGCCCTCATCTTTATACGTCATTGTAGTAAATCAACTGTTCATGAAATGGTCCCGTTTCTTTGACCCCATTGTTTGTCTATCCATGGAAGTGGACCATCTACTATACAGCAAAAGGCACATTTACATTTACCTGACTGGCAGACGTAGTTGTGTTCCTCCGCGCATGGCTGGTAGGTTCCCGTGTAGCCCGCCTCGCTGTCGAGCAGAACGCACATGTCTTGGTCCGCAGCCGAGTACATCCAGGGTGACGTCGCTACGAATTACATAGGAAGATGAGGCAACATTTGCAATATTTATCAGAAACTACGTTTCTACTTAAGTGGTCAGCATCTTACGAACTTGAGGTCCTGATGGAATGTGATGATGCTTGTGGTATGTGGGTAGGTGTTGGGAGTCAAGTCTGGGCCTCCTGGCGGCTTTCCTTGGTGTTTGCAGAAGCAAGTCTGGGCTTTGTATCTTTTGTCTTGGACAAGCTATGGTCTTGTTTTTTTGTGACAGATAGCTTTTTTATGTCAGGAAAAGGTAGTGTAAGTTTGGTCCCCCTAGCAGCTTGTCCTGGAACCGCATGGGCTTTGATTATTAGTGCTTGTCCATCAATACGAATCGGATGACATTTATGCTGTAAGAAAGAGAGGGTATACCACTACTTACCGGAAAGGGGTGCTCCATCCGCGCATGTGCACAGAGACATGGTAGAGATCTTGTTTGAAGTCCAGAACGACACGTTCCGCCCAGTGTCCAGGTAGCCGGCCAGCACCTGCTGGTCCACGGGGTCGTTAATTTTGACGAGGTGACCGTGGATGTCCTCGCACGCCATGGTGGCCTCCTGGTTGGGCAGGCGGTCGGCAGAGATCCGGTAACACTTGTCGGTATGGAGGACTACGATGGACAGAAATAACAAAATCATGATGACCATGCTTATGGTTGCGGGAAGGACTTTTAACTTTTAACCTTAACTTGTGAGATAGTAGTTTTTAGTTACCGTACTAAAAACAAAGGGTCAACGAACTATAATATTAATATTTGATATGCAAATGTCCATAGGAAATGTAGAAGGAAAGTGATTAGACGTGGTTTATTTGATTAGGCCATACCTACAGTGTATTATGTTTTCTCTGAACATAAAGAAATACGGGACAGTTATGAAATTTACAGGGAACGTTACTTTCCTCCTGTGACTTCTATTTCAATATCTCTACATGTGTATATGAGGAAACCACAAACACTGTTTTGTGCATCTTAAAGGAAAACAAGAACACCACCTGTTTCACAGTTGTTTCCGGTTGTATGTGGAGGACAGGTGCAGCTGTAGCCGGTCTCCTCAGTCACACAGGTCCCCCCGGACAGACAAGGATTGCTGCTACAGATGTCTGTCACTGTGGGAAGGTAAAATTACTCAGAAAACAAGAAATCACCGGAAAGAAGACAAAAAAATCAGACTTCCGGGAAGAAGGCAATCCCCGGCTTCCTGAACTCTCCCATGTCCTGTTGGCTCAAACAGTCAAAAATCACCTTTGACTTTCTGTCATTCTGCCTGTCACTGTGCCCTCACCCACGTGCTGTCAACCTACTCTATCCGGACAAACAAATACACAAACCCACAGAGCAGAACCCAAATTTATGATAAAAGCCTAGACAGATGAGTAGCTTGAAGCTTGGCTACAACAATAGAAAATTTCTCAAATCACCCATGATCTTCTAGGTTGATCATGTAGTTTAGAGATAGAAAAGTCTGATGACTCACATGTATCACAGTACTCTCCACTCCATCCGGCGTCACACACACAGGTGTGGTTCTTCAGGGCCTGCACACAGGTCCCGTGGAGACATGGGGAGATATCACAGTGCTGGGCTGAAATGTTACAGGTGGTTAGTCAAATGTTCATATTTATAGATAGATACATTGCATGTTTCGACTTGAAGCGATGGCTGAAAAATGAACTAGATATACATAGGATGTGTAGTAAAAGACTAATGGTTCACCAATCTTGCACATGCTTCGGGATGTCACTGAATATGTGAGGTTTATCATTAAGCTATTGTGACAATCATTAAGCTATTGTGTGCTACAAGCGGGTATATGAAGGCTGAAGTCGAAACGTACCTGCACATACGGCGTACCGGTCGCTACTCCTGTATCCACTAGAATCCCAGCCACTCGTTGTCACGCCGTAGGTGCTATCGTGGTAGCCAGAAGGATATTTCACATACGTGTTTTGCAGAGCCGGGCAGCGGTAGGCGGTTGTGGTGCCACACAGTCGTGAGGAGAGGAAAGTCAGGGTGTTCTGACAGGAACTGCCGGTGTGGCTGAAGCGGAGACAGTCAGATGACCAGTGGGACGTACATGTACCCAGACCTGTGCCGTGACAGGGGTAGCTCATCCCCGACAGTTCACATGTCGCCACCAGGTTTGTATTCGTCATCTCGCCTTTTACACGAACTTTGTAGAAAGTCAGCCCATCCCAGGTGGTCAGGTACTCTTGTTTACCTTTTCAATGAAAAGAAAACACATCTCAGGGTTACTGATGTTAAACATCTGCCCGTTTATGCATTACTTAGGACCTAGTCACATACATCGGATGATCGCACTTTGAGGGCAATCTTGGTATAGCGGTGCCTGTGTCAAAATCCATTTGTCCCGATACGGAGAAGGCTGTCTAAAGCGTAGATCCCGTTACCACTTCCTTGAAATTCGACGGTATCAAAATCGTACGACGATCGACCTACGACAAATGTGACCATTGTTATTGGTGATAAATATATACGTTGTATCACATGAGGAAATCATTCATCCATACGTAGGAATGTTGGACAGGGGGCCGGGTATGATGTAGGCTAACGTGCTTATTGTTTTATGATGAGGATGCACCAATCCCATTTCTTTTGATGCAAGACACCTCCGAAGCGCAGAAGCTGTAATTCGTGATCTGTTATTAGCTTTGCTGTTCGTTTGCTTAGCGTTTGGTAAGTTAGTAAATAGACGTATGTCAAAATACCCTGACCTGCGCAGAGAGCGTACTTGTCGGTGTGGTTGGCCCCCTCCATGCCCCAGTGGCCCGTGTCGTAGTCCACCCCGTACGCGCTCTGTGAGCCGGGCTGGTACACGAAGGTGTCATCAAGAGCCTTACACTCGTGCGCGTTCACAGTCCCGCACAGCGAGTTGGAGAGAACGCTCAGGGTCCGGCAGCTGCCGCCGTCAGAACCGTCCAGTTTGACGCACTCTGACGTCCAGACGCCGGTACACGTCCCGTGGCCGGTGTAGTAACACGGGTGCCAGAGACCTTCAGCTTCGCAAGCAGCTTGGACATTCGCGTTTGTCATCGGTCCTGAAGCGCGAACCTTAAAAAGGTCCCATTTTTCAAGGGTGGTGAGATATTCCTGTTCACCTGTAAAGTCGGTTCCATGTACCATCATTAACCATGTACATGTATGTTACTCTCAGGCTGGTTTATCACGATGGCAGTGTATAAAATGCATATTATTTCCGTCAGAACATGTCAGTCAACCTTTTCTGTTTTTATATACAACATTTAAACAGTTGTATGAAATACACTCCTCGATGAATTACTGTTTTGTTATTGACAAAGCCAATAAGTTCAGTGCAATTAGGAGACATGACAGAGAGCTGTACGCTTTTTCAAAGTGCTACAAACTTCCACTGAGTAGGCGACGTCACGCATAACATTTCGTGTCTTTTACATTCTCAGTTTTAGTGACAGTGTGTAGACTGGTATAAATGACATTGTGCCCACCTTGTGAGTAACCTGACCAGCCGAGAGCGGTCACAAACAGGACGAGACGCCACATCATGCCGCCTGTTGTACTGACGGAAGGTGTGTACGACCCTTACAGATGTGACGATATATACGGTATATAATATACCCCGTGCCGAGGTCATGAGAATCCCACAGCTGACAAGCAGACGTAGGCGATATTTTTGTGACTGCGCACAATGCCGTAATAAAAAGATTACTCTATCTATGGCATTTTCGAACACATAAAGTACAGGCTTGCGAGAAGTAAACGTCGATGAAGCTTATAAGCAACTGACGAAAAAATTTCCCATAAATCGAAATTTCACTACGTTAATTATTTTCTGGGTTAGTAATAAATGATGTATAAGATATGTAGTGTTATGATGAAAAGCGTGCACAGCAAATAACACAACGCCACACTCACTGACCTTTCGAACTCTGCAAACAAGGTAGCTGATACCTCGTCTTAAATGACAACCAAATGCTGAACAAACAAACAAACAAACAAACAAACAATCTTTCGATACCACCGGTTGGTTATTAGCCTGCGTGCCACCCACCGTACTTACCGCCGACTCCCTATTGTCGCTGGCTCGGATGGTACCCAGGCTAGTTGGGTGTGCCATTTCTATTGTAAAACAGTCAAAGCAGTCTGAGAACAGTTTGTGCAGAAAAATAAAGTACGTGTTACAGGAAGGAAAGCACAAACAGTTGTCAGGAATGCCACGCAACAGTTTCAACAGATACCAGATACTCTTTGACAGAGAATGTTAGGGAAGCACAAATGATCGCGCAGCAGCCAAGGCTACAGTTCGTCGGTCCAGTAAATGCTAGTCTAACTGGGACCGCAAGAGGACGCTGTGCAGAAGTCAAAATGGGCAGTCCTTTCTCGAGTTACTACTGTGATATCCTGTAACGGAAGAAATAGATATGCCGGCAGCATACATCCCTTACGTAACGCTGAGTTTTATTTTATTTTGTTGTATTTAGAAGGATATAGAAACGCGTGTAGAGAAAACATGAACCTTAAGAAGAGGAAAGTGAACTAACACTAATACAGCAATTCCTGAAAATAGTTCAACGTGATAGGCATAATTCAATGAACAAAGACGTTGTGAGTGAGTGAGTGAGTGAGTGAGTGAGTTAGAGAGAGAGTGAGTGAGTGTACGGCAGCAAGGAGAAGGTTAAGTCACCCGTGCCCTTTGACACTAATTTCTAACTATTTTTAAGTAAGCAAATCCATACGTGACATCAGAGCTGAGCATGCGCTCGACATCAGGGTCAATAAGACCTCCTTGGTAAGACTAATCAATATGGAGTTGCTATTTTTCTTCCTTCAAATATTTGCTCCCTCTGGCTCCCCATACTCGCATATTTGTTATTTGATAAATAGTATGTCTGCTCCAGACACTGTTTGTTCTATTATTGCAAAGTCATGTCAAAGGGCGTTTTAGAATACATCTTAATTAAAGAGATACAAGACGATTGTTTTGACATTTTTCGGGTGCTCTTTGCAATATGCATGTTTGTAACTTCGTAGTTATTGTTGACAAATGAAGCACATAATGTGACTGAAGTGAGTGAAGTATTGTTGTTGTCATGTCTATCTCTCTATCTCTCTTTGTTTGCGGAGCTACCTCATCTTGGAAAGGCAAAAATAACAAGCAACAAGATATGAAACGTTTTCTTTTGATAAACCAGGCAACAGTAGCTCACGATATGTAAAAGTTTTTGTCTGTAATTTTACATTTATTCGATCATCGTTACTAAGCATGCCAGGTGATTGTTCATCCTGTGATGACGTCGTTGATGTTGGTGCCGTCGGTGACGCTGGGGACGTCGGGGCCGTCTGTAACGTCGTTACCGTCGTTGACGTCGGTAACGGGGACGTCAGTGACGTCAGTCACTTTGGGCACGTCGGTACCGTCCGTGACTTTGGGAACATCAGTGACACTTGTGGCGTCAGGGACGTCGGTGACGCTGGGAGCGTCGGTGATGTCAGTGAGGTCCGTGACGTCTGTGACTTTGGGAACGTCTGTGACCGGGGCGCTGGACGGATCCACTGAAACAGGAAATATAAAACCTCACAACACTGCCCGACAAGCCTGTTATGTTGTCCTTTGTTAAAGCTGTCACTGAGCCGGTCACTTTATTCCACCTTAATATTGCAATAGCGATATTGTTTTTTTTACATGAGAACAACCTAGTATATTAGACAACTTTGATTGGAACGCATCTCATCTACACTGCCCAGATTGTTTGTTATTACAGGGACATTTGCTCGAAGATGCAGTAATTTCAGTAATGTGCTGACATAATTTCCTTGGAACATTTCGTTTACATCTACCCGGCAAACAAATTAAATTCGGCACAACACACATCCGTGTCAGTTGATAATCAGAAAGACTAAGTAACTAATTGTTAGCCCATAACCGGCAATGGCATGATTCCACGTGCACGGAAGGCATCGCGGAATTAAAAGTTAATGGAAAACGAAAATCGATGATGATTGACATAGTAGAAGAGCCATGCCGCCAAGACACGCGTGTGATATCCAGGTACATGTAGGGGACCTTGGCGAAGAAATTAAAGGGCAGGGCTTTCTAACCTGCTGTTTTTATCACATTTGCAACGTATATTATGATGTCGTCATGTTACCGTGTCATCTGGATGACGGTAGAGGTCAGATTTACTTGGATTTTTTTTTCATGATTAGCATTGTTTGGTAGCCTGTCAACTACATACATGTACATACACGTCTTTCAACTGTAATTTTCTATCAGCCCAAAAACCTAAATTTTTTAAACGTTTTTAGACAGGTGATAGAAACAATGGGTATGCACAAATAAGAGGGGTAAGCAGAATACCAGCACTGCTAGTGCTAGCACTGACAAATACGACTCGTTTGTCAACCATAGTTGACGTAGCTGGAGAAGGACCAATGCCCTAACCTGCACACAATGCAAGCATGTCGTGGTGGAAGGACCCGAACAGGTTGGAGCCTGTGTCATAGTCCGTGCCGTACGCGCTGTCCCCGCCCCACCCATGCGGGTTGTAGACGAACGTGTCGTCCAGGTGGTGACAGAGGCGGGGGATGGTGTGTCCGCACAGCGCCAGGGACAGCACGGTGGGCGTGTGACAGCTCAGCTGGCCGCCGTTGAACGTGATGCAGCCGTCTGCCCAGTGTCTGCCGTGGTCGCAGCTCTCGCTCACGTCATAGCAGGGGTAGCTCATCCCCGCAGCTTCGCAGGTGGCCTTGACGTTCGTGTTGGACATGACTCCACGAGAAGGAAGCTTGAAGAATTCCCAACCATCCATGATGGTCAGAAACTCTTGACCTATAGAACAATTGCAATGTTATATGCTGAGGTCACATTTCCAATCCGGGGCCCGGCCGGGCTGTTTACGTGAACGAAAATAAACAATTCGTATGAAGAATATGTGCATATAGTGCTCATAATTAATTGTTGTAAATCCTTTGTGTTTTAATGTCTTTTATATATACTTTTCGTTCGCAGAAACGACCTGGCCGGGCCCGGCTTAGAAATGTGACCTCAGCATTACACTCTGTTATGACTCTTCGTGTTTGGTTCCAAACATACATACATTACATACAGATATGGTACATACAGTGCGTAGGCCTGTAATAATGCAAGCATATGCTTCTTTTTTTATGTTATCCTCAACTGAGGTGAAGCGTGATTCTTTCTCAAGTAGCTAATTGTGCAATACGGCTTAGCTACAGCTCGCGTATTTAGGGCTAAAACAAGCCGGGTGTTCGCCAGGCCCCTACCCGGGTGATTTGTACTGAATAGTCAACCTCCAGATAATATCTGGAAGCATATACACACTAGGTGACTTTTGAAAGTGGAAGAGGAAAAGTTTTTTAAATCTCCAATTGTAATCATTTTTTTTATTTTACAGGGTTTTCTGTGTGTTGTTAGTTTGTTATCATGATTCCCTCCCCTCGCACGTCACAAGCCTTACCAGTATATGTCTTCGATCTTTAATATGTGTAGTCATAACGAACTTTACAACTATAATAAGCATAAATGATAATTTCCCCACCTTGTGACGAGGCCAGGATAGCGGCGGTGAAAATCAGATGTTTCCACATCTCTGCCGTCTGTTGAGTCACTTTAGCACTTTAGCCGTGAAGTCTGTGCGAGACGGAGTTGTTTCCCCACATTTATACGGCGTGCCAAGGTCATGGGAACCATACAGGTGTCTGGCAGGTAAATAATATCGTCATTTTCGCGGTCGGTTTGACATCACTAGGATGTCCCATTGCACTTTATCAAAACATTATTTGCTTGTAACGCGGTGACATTCCCTTGGCCTAATATTTTTTACAGATGCCCTGTGGTTTAACAGACCTTCAAATGTGCTACGATATCCGCACTTTGGTTTTCATTCAATCAATATAATCACTCCCTGTTTTAAAAACGGCGTGTACACGTACGCGTGGGCTGACAGCTCCTCACCAAACTACAGCAGGATTATATAATGTATATATGTGTATAATATTAATATGTGATATTCCCCTCACCCACACCACAATACCAAGCATGGAAAATGGTTTGTGCATAGTACAGCTAAGCGTACCGGTATCATACCAATAGAATACTTCTCAACACTCTTGGTGTCTTTATTGTCACAATGAAGGCAGGTATTGTTTTCAGTGTGGCTGTCTGTCTGTCTCTGTGATGATATACTTCCGCATATATCCATACCTTTAGCCATACCTTAAGACAGTGCACCATTGTATGTAGGTCACATGCTAATAATAAAATTGATTTGACAAGTACATCGCAGCTATTTAAGCTGAATTGTTTAGGCGTAAAAAAGATGAAATAAACAAGAGATCAGGACTATGTAACTGTAAGGTGTGAAAAACGGTAGCCTGACTAAATCGCGCCTAGCGGCCATCTCGACGGTCATGCCCCTTGGCCCAGCCAGGCTCTGGAAAATGTGAATACAAAGAAACTTCGTTTACAAATTCACAAAGTCCCAATAGAATGTGCAAAAAGGCTGTCTGTCTATTTATTTCATCTCAGTAGTGACGGGCCGAAGTCAAAGGCGAACAGGCGGATTGTATACGTGTAAGCGAAACCATTCGAAGTTACAAATGTACATGTAGCATCGTCCAACCCTGCCACTGTATGCTAAACATGAGAATTCGGAAATGTACGTAGCTTACTAGCACAAGAAGAACACTTTCAGTGACTGTGACTGTGGCTTAATCAAATTGTACACCACAGCTCTTTCATTCTATCGTCTGTCTAATATTTCAGTCCCTGACTATACACAACCAGGTGAATACAATGAAAGTAGTTAACGAAGTCACAAAGTTAAAACTAAATTTACACTATACAAAAAGCTGTTAACGTTTGTTTCAGCCATGCGGTGTCAGTCTTGGAAGGGTCAAATTCAACTGCGGGAAGGTGGATTCTGTGTACTAGTAAATAAAACCAAAGTTCGCATCGTCCAACCCTGCCACAGTATGCTATGAGATATCCTAAATATTTAGAGCACACAAAGAACACACTCGCTAAAAAGGAATTGGGTGCAACATACCGTTGCTCTTAAATGTACACATGAAATTTAAAGTTGGAAGCCACACAAAGATTCCACCCCAAACATACCAGTCTGTCAAAAATTAGTCTCCTACACTCCACAGCCAGGAATACATTTCGTACTTTACAGAAATCTTTATCCAGATAGTATAGATATAGTGACAGAGTCGACTGCTGTCTTTGGTCATATCTCGCGAGCGTTATGATCGACTTTCAATTTGGACATGTGTGTAAGCCTGAAACGAGAATGCGTTCAGAATTCGCTTGTTTCATCCATCATCATAGTCGTGGCCGTTTCATTCTTGAAGAATCGCGGACACCCATCGTCAAACACGGGGCCAAAGGCGATACCGTACAGGATCCCAAGAACGACGACATAGACGATTCCCAACACGAGAAGACCCTTAAAGAGCTTGCTGCAGCCATCTTGTGCATAGACGTTATAGCCGGCAAGAATTACCTGCGCGATTGCCACTAAAGGGCGACCAATGATGGCTAACCTGAGAGCAGCTGGGTGTTCTATCTTCAGCCCCACCGCTTTGGTATAGCCGTTGATATCGTCTATGTAGGAAGCAGCGAGAGGAATAAGTTCACCTGGGATCAAGACGTTCAGGAAGATGTAGGCCAAGACGTGCAAGTCCTTAAAGGCATCTTTTCTGTATTCTGTCATTCCGTCGCAGTCATCTGTACAGTATGTGTACAATAAACAAGAAGCCCGCCACACAGGATGGGCGTTGAAGAACCCTTCATATCCACACAGGCGGGTTGCGGTGAGAATGAAGAATAAGCCAGAAATCCCGATCCCGATGAAGTAGATCCAAGTAGTAAAGGGACATTTCAGAATGTCGTCGACCTCAGCAAGCATTGCTAGATTGAATGCCAACCCGAGGATTCCCAGGATTTCCAACAGTAACGCCCAACGATTTTTGCAGTTTGGAGTGCGACAGCAAGCGCAACATTGGTCTCCACCGCTTCCAGCCTGAACCTCAATATCCATGCTAGCCACTTGAGCTGACTCAGATGCCACCGTTCCGGACATGTTGGATGTAACAATAGTGGACTATGTAAGAAAAATGCTGGTGAAGGAGCACCAAACGTAAGCTGTATGTGACTTTCAAGTCGAACACCAGTTCAACAGGTGGATATCATTAAGTGGAACATTGGAGGGAGAAAAAAAATACATTTTGTAGAATCTTAAAGTCCAATAGCATGTATTGATTGATTCTTCAGGTCTTTGTTGTACATTTAGGTACATTCAAATCGACGTGAGTCTAAATTAAGGTTACATCTGTAGGAAGAAACGATAAGAAGCTGAAGTTGACGTTAGTTCACCCCGAAGACTGTAGTGCAATGGTTGAGTCAAGGTTAGCACTTCCGGGTTGTCTACAGGAGTGCAGTCAACCGTACAGGGCGGTAACATGTACAGTATCCAGGCGCCAATCTGCGCCGACCGAACAAACGTCACAATCAAACTTGTTCTGTCTTAAACCTGACGCATTCCTCTACCATTCAGCACATTAATATTTATATTATTTACCTCGTTGTCGTACAAAGGATAAGCTTTGCCTCTTTCTAAAGTTTTTTTTCCGCAATACTTTTAGCCCGCCCATAGATACTGTGTATTGTTTAGGCGTAACAACATTGAAAGGATGAAGATAGAGACTATGGGAAGTGTGAAAACGGTAGCCTGACTAAATCACGCTCCTGGCGGCCACCTCGACCGTCATACCCCTTGACCTGAGCCAATCTATGGAAAAGGTGAATACAGCAAAACTTCGTTTCCAAATTCACAAAGTTCCAATAGAGTTAGAAAGTACAAAACGCTGTTTATTTTATTCCAGTAATGACTGGAGTAAACGAAACCATTTGAAGTCACAATGTAGCACATGCATCGTCCAACCTTGGCCTTGCCACAGTATGCTAAACATGAGAATTCCGAAATGTACGTAGTACACAAGAAGAACACATTCAGTGAATGCGACTGTGGCTAAATTGGAGGCCAAAAAAAAGCAGTTAATTGGTTAAAACAGTAGCAATAATTCCTAAACGTAACATTATCAAACTCATCATGATCATGTAACAAATCATATAGGCAGGAGTTGTGCCAATCATTCATTCATACCATAAATCAATGGTCAGTGATCACAGACAAAGCACGTGTCTGTTGTTGGCGGGGGCGTGGTCCTGGGCTGTACCATTACAAATCGCGATCCCTAAACGAAATTTACATTCAAACTGCCAGAAAACCACTCATATTTCCATCCAGTGGTTTGATGCTCTTATGTATATTATTAGAGATCTCCTCTGCTACATTTCTCTCGTAACATATTTCAGGAAAAGAAAATTCGCCGGTTGCGGATGTGATTGTGATCACCCGCCGACCTCGTGACATCCTCTGATCCAACATGGCGTCTCCGGAGTTTCTGCAGAAAATCTTCAGGTCAGTCTGTGGGCTTGTTTCAACCATTGTTGACTGCATGAAGGTACCAAGACGCCGTGTCGGTGTACGTAAAGATGACTTGCATGCAGAAGTAGAAGTATCGGCGAAAAAAATCCCGTTCGCGTCGTATCAGAGCTGCGAACATAGCGAAGGTTGGGGGGGGGGCGATCTTGGTAGATAGCAAGCCACATACTACAGTATATTTATATAAGTAGTATGCACGTATGAAAGTGAAAGTGTTAAGAGCAGCGAATGATGTCACCGAAACCGTCACGGTCGTTGGAGAAAAAGAAAAGTGTTTTGCTATGCCTATTCAAATATTTGCTTTCCACCACCAAAATTTGCATGGATAGAATTTTGTTTTTCTCGGCTTTTAGTCTGTAGTCATCTTGTTTTGAAAAGACTAAAACTTAGTTAAGGATGTAAGGAGAGAAACGGGTCTGATATGTCGTGTATTTTACTCCCACATACCTTTCGTGATAGGCAGTCAGGAATTTTCTTTGAGATTTCAATAGATTTATGACGAAAATACGAGTACATACATGCAGCTCCACACATAATCTAGCCGGGCCCCACCTCCCAACTCAGCACACAACAGATGTTTTTGGTTGTATTGTGGTTAATATGTAACTTTGCGGTATTTCTTCTAGCTTCTCTAGCAACACTAACCTCCCAGCTAAGGAATCTCTTAGTATCTTACAGCTGTGCAAGCTAAACACTTGTAATGAAGGACAAAGAAAGACTAGAACCAAATTTAAGATGAGATCAGTGCAACCATGGTGCAACTTACTAGTAAGGCAAGCAACAGGTTGTAGGTTTGTTGCACATATGCCTGGGTCCTCACCACGTCAACATTGTTGATTTTTTCCAGGTATTAAAGATATGGCAAATGGCCAATATTAGATATGGCAAATGGCCTGCCTATCAGTATGATGTATGCTGCTAACAGAACCCTATGAATGTTGGAAGATCAGATAAAATATGAGCTCAAATATTCTTCCTAAAAGTACATCTACATGTTGCCCCCACTTGGAAGGGTCCCTGTCCTGACTCAAGAAGAAATATTCAAGAAATTGGGTTTGATTGATTCAGGTTGGACTCTGCTTTACCAGACAACCCTCTATCTTATGTCTCTCTGTCGGGTGATTAGAGTATTTGTGACATTACACAAAGCTCCACCACTGTGTAGGTACTAGGTGGTGACTGAAAGTTAAGACACTACTTAAACTCATTTCAAGGCACTCCATACCCTTGGTAAACCCCATCAAATGCTCTCTAAACTTCCTAACTCTTGAATATTGGGGAGAGAAAACGACATGCAGAATTTCATCCTATCCTGTCTTTGGCAAGGCAAATTACACTTTTGTAAACATTGTATTATACATTAAAAACAGACATATTCACTTCACTTGTGCAGATGTTTGTACAGGTGTGTATTGAACCCGGAACAAACACATTGCCATACTGGGTTCTAGTCTTATCATGTTGTGCAGCTCTAGTGTTTATCATGACCTTTCTGTAAAACACCAGAGCCTAAACACACAAATGCAGGTGTGGTCATATTTGTAAGAGTCAGCATGATGTACAATGTTGTACAGAAATATGTTAAACTTGCCAGATGCTATCAGTTTTCTCTCCTTCCATCCTTTAACAGTGTGTATTTTTACCTGTATTTCTTTCTTAACTTGGACAAAAAATTAAAAAAAAAATGTTTCAATAAACTCTAATGTTTGATAGTTTCAAGCCTTGAGTGCAGTTCTTGATGTGGGTGTTGTCTGGATGAAATGAAATAATTGTTAAGTGATAAAAACAACTTTCAGTTTCGGTGAAGTCATCAGCTTGGAACACGCCCAAGTCATGACTCATTCTGTCAGGCATCAGTACTAAACCAGAACATATTGTATTACATAGTACTCATTATGTTCGGCCAAGGAAAAAAATGTTGTGTTTCCTGTTTCGGTCCTGAAAAAATTAGGGTCGGTAGGTAGGGATTATCTTATTTTATTTTTTATTTTTATTTTTTTTTAGACTTTGCTGATTGCTGTGTTTATTTAAGAAGAACAAGTTGAAAAATCAATTGTGCAATATTATATTTCAGGGGTCTCCAACTTTGCGCCCTACGCAGCGCGCAGGAGAAGCTGTTGCATTTCAATACGTACCATTCTGAAATGCAGTTTGTAGCCTTCTCCTGCAACTTGAGTTGAAAATCTGTCTAACTTAAGAGATAGAAAATCAAGCCCAATTAAGTACAAATATTTCAACATAATAATTGGTTGGTATGGTACATTGTCTAGTCTGGTCAAAGTTAGTGGATTCAGAAGAAGAAAAACTTCTGAAGGAAAAAACGCCTGAAGAAAAAAAAATTTTGAAGAAAAAAACTTTCGAAGAAGAAAAACTTCTGAAGAAAAAAATCTGAAGAAAAAAATATTATTCAGCGTAAAATTTTGATTGGTTTCTATCCCAATGTTTTCCTAAAAATCGATAATGTGATTGTATCAATTTTAAACGCCCTAAAATTAGCTAAATCGGCGCAATTTACGATGATTGCGCAATACGCGTGCCCTATGACCTTTGACTTCACGGGTCACGCAGCTCTAAATGCAGGCGCCCTCCCCACCTCGGCCGTCCGATTTGCCGGCAAATTTCTACTTTTTTAAAGGGTTTCGGGACCTAAAAACTAACACCAGAGGGAAAATAAACCACATACGTTATTTTTATGGTAAAAATCGCTAAAATGAACCAGGCATTTTTCTGCCGCGTTGCCGATTTTGAGATTCAGGACTTGCGGCCACCATGTGCTTTACGTCGATAGCGAATTTTCTACGGTTCCGTAAACGTATCAGCTTTTTTGTTAAACTTATTTTCGGGGTCGAGGGCTTTGTTTTACAAACAAATCAGACAATAAGCGTTGTTTACACGGCTTCAAAACGCTAGCGGGGCGCCCAATGTTCCACCAATGACAGCGATTCTCTCGGTAGCGTCGTGCAAAATGTTTTGGTTCAGCAATATGCAGGGGTCCACACAAAAATAAGTCTAGGGTCGGCGGTTTTTTTTAGGGTCGGTCGGGAAACAGGAAACACAACATTTATTTTCCTAGGCCTTCTGGTTTACTGATGCTCAAAAGAAAGATCTCATGACTTGGGCATGTTCCAAGCTGATGCAATATTGTTACTGCTTTCAGTTTCGGAGAGTTAACGTTACATGTTCTCCACACAGTGTTATTACACCTATTAGATTAAGTCTTTCCACATCTGCATGTGTACATGTATGGCGACCTAAAAGAAAAGAAGAGGAAAACGCTTTAGAATATGGTATTTAGAGCCTTGGAAGACTCGCCCAGCAGGGCCAAAAGGTTTCAAAATAAATGAATTTAGGGAAAGAATATTACCACCCTGTGAATGAACTGGTTGACCATTCTGTGTAGTATAGTGTACTGTATAAAAAGTATGATTTTAGAATATGGTATAGGGAAAGATCACCACCTGTAAATGAAATTATTCTGTGTTCTTTATAAAACTATGATTTTATCTAATTCTTTCAAAGTAGAATTCAGTACACATGCTACCTTTTCTGTAACTGCCCATTTCTATAGCTCTAGAATTTAAAGCCTTATGCTATAGCTAATAGCCTGGGTGCCATCCGAATTTGTAACGGCTACCCCGAAAAAATCTTTCGGGGTAGCCGTTACAAATTCGGATGGCACCCAGGCTAATAGCTAAGAATGCACTAAAGTGATTTACTCTTCTTCCCTGAAGTTACATTGATGACCACCAGGAGGAGTATGTGAAACGTCTGTCAGATGTGGTGGCCATCAAGAGTGTGTCAGCCTGGCCAGAGGTCAGGGGGGAGGTCACCAGGATGGTCAAGCACACAGCCAAGGTGTGAATAAATTCTGTATCATATCCCTGAAAAAAAAATCTATATGATATTGCCTCCAAAAATATCATACTGTATATTAATTGACTAATCTGCACTGCTGTGTCCTGTAGAAACCTGCATAAGTTATAGATCAATGGACTCTTCCTGTTTGAACTTGTTTTCCCACAGTAAAGCCAGTTACCCTGGAGTGCTACGTTTGACTACTGTAGGCTGTACCAGTTACTTCTGTCTGAGCTTTGATTTATGTGTCTGTCAGGACTAAGTGGGTTGACAACACTTGGTGTGGAAAAGATGGACAGGCAGAATGACTGGAGGTGAAAAAGTCAGACACAAAAATGGCTCTGACTGGGGGCCAACAAGAATTACAGGTCAATATGGGGGAAATTTAGGAAGCTAAGGATTGCACGAGGGACCCTCCAATCTTTCCTGAAAATCTGAAATGTCTGATCTCTTGTTTCTGTAGGAACTTGAAGCCCTGGGTGCCACAGTAGAGCTCTGTGACCTCGGGATGCAGAAACTTCCGGATGGCTCCCAGATCCCCCTGCCGCCATGCATTCTGGGATACCTTGGCCAGGACCCCAAGAAGAAGACCGTTGCCGTATATGGCCATCTTGATGTGCAGCCAGCCAATAAGGTGAACTCTTGTCACCATACCTGTCTAGTGATGCATACCTAAACCCAATTTCAGGTTCAGGTCCGGATTCAAGTCCAGAGGTTTAGGTTCAGGTCCGGACTTAAGTCCGGACCTAAACCCATGGCATATACAAAATTGCATGTTGGCAACCTTGCAATGTTGTCTGGGTGAAACTTTGGCCACATAACATGGAGGCTGGTACTTGACGATGCCCGATGGCAATGTTTTCTTCATTTTGCAGCAAAGATTTTGGAATCTACGGGAGGTTTTAGGTGGTTTAAAAAGAAAAGGGGTATGTGAAATGGTCTTTTATGGTAATAAGTCCGGACTCGGTTCTTGACTTTTAGTTTTTTTTGGACTTGAACCTAAACATTTTTACAAGTCCGGATCCAAGTCCAGTGAACCGGTATGCACCACTATACCTGTCCGCCACGTTTTGTAGTGCAAGTCCCTTCCATAATTTTTCATCAGTAGATCATGTCTTTAACACTTCTTACATTGATGGCTTTAGTAGTTCACATGTACATTTCACTGCAGCTTTGATGGTTGAGGACTGTAGTTAGGGCTGAACAAAGAAAAGGCCTGATGGATGTGTTGTTTACCCTTGTTTTCTCCAGGAGGATGGATGGGACACTGAGCCGTTTGTGCTGACAGAAGTTGATGGCAAAATGTACGGCAGGGGCTCCACAGATGACAAGGTACTGTTTTTAATTAATAAAGGTTTCTAATTCTCGAAACAAATAAATCATCTAGAAACTCTACCACTCACTTCTTATATTACATCTGAAGAACAAAGGATGCTTCTGTGTATTTTTACCCTCTAATGCATACTGTATTCTGCTATTTAGCTAGTATAATCAAGGACATTAGTAGAATGTGTAATAAATGAACATATTATCATTGAGAAGATGTAACTTGTGTGACTCTTTCAGGGTCCTGTGCTTGGCTGGTTGAACTGTATTGAGGCTTACCAGAAGATTGGCCAGGAGCTACCAGTCAACCTCAAGGTGTGAATCTTAAGCTGCAGGCTCATCTATAGGCATGAAATTTCAGGTTGGCTGTAGTACTTAACTGGGAAAGGTTAAGGCTTATTCCAGGTTAGTTTTCCAATGTTTCAGATTGCACTGGTGCATTGGTCTTCAAACTGTTCATTAACATACATGTACATGTACATGTACCGGTATTACTAGTACTAGTCTAATACTATAGTATAATGCTGAATTATTAATGTACCACAAGGGAAAAAAAAAAAATTTTGAACATAATTGAGGCCACACCAATTTAATTTGTTGGTTCTCGGATTTTTTCAGGAAAAATATGAAGCGACAGGGCGAAAAAAATAAAAATAAAAACAGATCTAGGCATCCTATTATAGCCCCAAATGCTACGATAGGAGGTATGAAGTCAACACAAAAGGCTGGTTCAAAATTTAAACAATGAATTTTGAACTTCTAATGATACCACTGCATTGAAAGATGGAATAACTGTAACAACTAGGAAGAAAAGGACTGTTCTAAACTGTTCAGGACAAAATATGAGCATTTTGCATTTGATTCTGAATTTTTTTTTTTTTTTTTGCAAATCAGGAAAAAATGAAGAGGCGAATACGAGAACCAACAAATTAAATTGGTGTGGCCTGAGCCATGTTTTTATGATAGACCGCCGTTCACTCATGACTGAAGTATGAATCTCCTTCCATGTCCAGTTCATCTTTGAGGGGATGGAAGAGTCCGGGTCGGAGGGGCTGGACGATCTGCTCATCTCTAAGAAAGATACCTTTCTCAAGGTACGAACAAGACGGGATAAGGCATTCAACAGTTCTAACACATAACCCATGTATCTTCTTACCTTCATATGCAGATTTGTACAACATAGTGGAAGTTTGTTACATGCTAGATATGATTATGGATGGATAACATTTATTTATTAGGTTACTCAGTGTATTGTCATTGAGTGAAATGTTGTTCTTCCTCAGGATGTGGACTATGTGTGCATCTCTGACAACTACTGGCTTGGCAAGAACAAACCCTGCATCACATATGGACTCAGGTGGGTCCAAACAGTTCAGAGATGCTTTCAAAATGCAATGATTTATGCTATAACTATGCTGCCATAATGACAATTGGTATGAAGCATCTCGGCAAATTCACCCAATTCCGGTAACTGGAAGGACTCTGCATTTAATTTTGTGGTGTCCATAAAAGTAGCCTCATAGAGAGCCTAAAGTAGCTCTCATGTATGTTTTGTTTGAAGTAACATGCCATATAGGGAGATCATGGGAGATTAAAAAGCCCATTATTGATTGTTTCTGAACCTTTGTTATTCTGCAGGGGGATCTGTTACTTCTTCCTGGAGGTCCAGTGTGCTTCCAAGGACCTGCACTCTGGGGTGTTTGGTGGCTCTGTGTAAGCATATCAAATGTTACCTTAAATGTATAACGTTAGCATTAACTGTGACAGTTTCTGTTTTAATAAAAATCTCATCTATTTAATCAGCATTAATGAATAACCTGAGAACACTGGTCATGTCATTGACTGGTATTTTAACAGGATGTGTTTTTTTCTAAGGGATGTCAAACTGGTGGTTGAACTCAACATAAATACATTGTTCAATTTTGTGACTTCTGTATGGTGTATCATAACTAAGAGAGTGTTCTCTCCCCATGTCCAGCCATGAGGCCATGACTGACCTGATAGGCCTGATGTCCAGTCTGGTGGACACCAAGGGGAACATCAAGGTGCCTGGCATCAACGAGATGGTTTCCGCTGTAACAGACGAGGAGTTGGCGTCATACGAACCCATCGACTTTGACATGGTCAGACTGTTATTCATTGAATATTTATAAGATTACAGGATGGGCAGCCCATCCTGTGTATCAGTTCATTTGATAGTCTTACACTCAGTCTGAGGAAAGTTAATGCCATATTTCAGAAAAGTACTGTAATTTTCTTTGTCTTAGTGGTGACAAAGTTTCTGATCAAAACAGACATTTTCACAGAACTTAATTTTTATGCTGTTGGGAGAGGGTAGGTGGAAGATTGTGACCGTGAAAACCATGAACATAAATTAAAAGTAGTTTGGAAAAAATCAGGAATTACAGTCACTGTATAGCCCAAGATGATGGAAACTATACTACACAATGTCTTCACCTTGATTGTCATTTGTCCTGAACAGGAGACAGCAATGATTCTTGCAGTGTTATTATAACTTTTGTACATGTGTATCCTTGATTGTTCTTGAACAGGAGGTGTACAGGGCAGACCTGGGGCATGAACGTCTCCTGCACGACACCAAGGCAAAAATCCTCATGCACCGCTGGAGGTTCCCCACCCTCTCCCTGCATGGTACGGTCCAGTATGATAGTACAAAAAGTCATGTCATATGACGGGCATGCTGGACTGAAAGTATAAGTTACCGGTAAACAGGATGTTTATGAAACCAGATGACCTTTTCTTATGTATGCAGACCATAAAGACAGACAAAACTGCACTGTTACTACATGTATATTACTAGGAAACAGAAGTTGCATATACATTGTATGTATGTATGTTGTAATACACTGCTGACTCATTCCAAATTTATACCTTTTTTGTCAATGCATGACTCATGTTGATACAATGTACATGTGTACATGTATAAGGTTGGAGTGGAGGTTATACCAATGACTTCCTTGTTCCCCACCACTGTAGGTATCGAGGGTTCATTTGACGGGGCTGGTGCGAAGACCGTCATCCCGAGGAAGGTGATCGGGAAGTTCTCGCTGCGACTGGTGCCGGACATGCTGCCTGACCAGGTGGAGAAGTGTGTGGTGGACTACCTGAACAAACTGCACAAGGACAGCGGCAGCCCCAACCAGATCAAGTAAGGATCATTCATGAATTTTCAAATCAGGTTTTTTTTAGTGGCTGAGTTGTGGATTTGTGTGTCTGTAGTACATTTTGTACAATGAAGGTTGACTGCACAGGGGTAGGGGAAATTGACAGCCAGAATGACAGTAAGTCAAAGGTCTGGCCTGATCCGATATGGGGGAATTCAGGAAGCCGAGGATTGACTATACTTCCCATGCAGATGTCTGAAATCTCTGATTTCTTGTTCTTATTTTATGTTTTCTAATCTTATGTGTAACTGAGTTGCTCTTTTCAGATTGTCTTTCCTATTTTGAGTTTGTTTTGTCTTGTTTCCAGTGTTACCATGGGTCATGGCGGTAAACCATGGGTGAGTGACTTCAACCATCCTCACTACATTGCTGGACGCAAGGCAACCAAGACAGGTGAGCTTTTTGTCTTCTCTTCCCGAGATTTTACCACAGGACTGGCCCTTAGTTTTATACAACAGGTGTGTTATTAGTGCAAATTGATACAGACCATTTAGGTCAGTAGCAAGCATAGTGATACCTGTTATATATGTTCTTTACTTTGGTTTACGGTTTACTTCAGGTGCAGGTGTGTCAAGTTGTAAAATCTTTGACCTTGATCTATTTCAGAGAATATGCTGATTTAGAATATATGCCAGTCTCTGTCATATTTCAATGAAGATTTTGACATTCCTTCTGATCCACAATTTGAACAGTTTGGGGCTGTGAGCCAGACTTGACTCGTGAAGGTGGGAGTATCCCCGTGACCTTGACCTTCCAAGAGGTCACTGGCAAGAACGTCATGCTCCTGCCCATGGGTGCCTGTGACGACGGCGCACACTCCCAAAACGAGAAATTTGATCGCAAGAACTACATCCAAGGGGTACGTAGTGCAAACTTTATTGATGTGTCTTAATTTTCTATTTCTTGTATTAGTCTGGGGCGTGGAGCCAGATTTGACTCGGGATGGATGTAGTATTCCAGTGACGTTGACATTTGCGGATGTGACGGGGAAAAACGTGATGCTTCTCCCAATGGGTGCATGCGATGATGGGGCCCATTCCCAGAACGAAAAGTTCAACAAGAAAAACTATATCATGGGGGTAGGTCTGGAAAGTTACATATGGAAAAACAGTTAGCTAGTGACATAGACTCATTTCTAGCCTTTTGGGCCCATTATATTTATATATTTAATCTTCAAATTAACATTGTAATAACTATCAAGAGTCTTATATATGTTACGTAGTTGTCTGGATTTCTTGCTTTCATAATCATAGACAGTAATTTCCAGTTATGAAAAAACATTAACATGTCAACATTTCTCCCCAACAGACCAAGCTGCTGGCAGCTTACCTCCACGAGGTAGCCCAGTTGGAGTGAGAACAGTCCAGGCAACAAAACAACATTTCCACTACAACAAAAACAGGACCAGGCTTACACAATGTACAATTGCTATATCAAGCTGCTTCACTTAGCATTTTGTTAAACAGATTGAATTTCATTTAATTATGCATGTTCGAGATACAGAGAATATTGTTTTACTCAAAGTGGTTTCTGTGTAGAAGAATAAGTTGCACATGTAAATCAAGATAGTTAATTATGCTGTTTTCTCTTCTATTTTCCTGACTCGTAAACCTCATGATGATTGTTGCTTTGTGGATGATACAGTCTGTAAATTTTGGTAAAATGTTCAGATCAAACTTACCTTTATTCAGTATTGAACCACTAGTTATTTCTCAGATATTTCTTTCAAATCTGAGTAAAAGGAATATTTATGAATATTACCTCAGTATGGCAATGTTGTCATGCAATATTGATAGAAACAAGTGGACCAACTCCCCCTGCTTGTAATTAAAAGAAATTAAGGGCACATAGAAAATGTTTTTAAAAATAGCACCCATCCAATGTCGTCTTATTTTCAGTCGCAAGGAGGCTCAATGGTTAAATGGAGTCAACAATGGTTGGATGTCCAAAGTCTTTATCCATTTTGCTGTTGTTTCCTTTATTGTGCATTGCATTGAAAAATATCAAAGCAAGATAATATTGAAAGCTTCATCATCTATCATAACCACAGTGACTTCTCATCAGAAACTGAATCAACATTGTCAAGTGCCTTACTGGTAACTTTGATCCAAAGCCTGCACTAACATGTAAACTGACTTGTATCAAAGCTTGTCAGAAAATGTGTTGATCAAGCTCTTATGTCTTAAAAGGAGCATCATAAAGGTGACAAACAAACTTGAGGATTGTGGAAATCTACATTTCTGAATAAAATTCCTGTCTGCTTCTCTTTGTTCTTGCCTTTATATAATACAATGTTGAGTTTGTATCAGGATCATGCTATGTACACTGTATACATACATGTATGTATGTGTGGGGGGGTGGGGGCAAATTACACTAAAATCTAACTTCAAGTTGACTACAATGGTCTACAATTTATAATTGACTTTAGCCTTTACATTCTTTCTAATTTGTCTAGTACCCATCAACAAAGGAAACATCAGTAGACTGCTGATTATATAGACTTACACAAAAAAGAGTTGCTTTCATACTTTTAACATTCATTTTGAGGTCTAGTTTTTTATGATGCTTGTGTTCCAGCCACATTAAACAACTAGCCAGGAAAGCTTAAAATGAGAACAATGTTGGCCATGCATACTTGATTGAAATATGGGTAATGAAAAACATCTATCAAGGATCCATGTTACTAAAATAACAGAATCCAGATACTCTATGCTTGTTCAGAAATAGAATGTTGATTTGAGTGCCAAGATGAGTGAGAGAGTCATAGAACAGTGCTTGAATTAGCCTCAGGTCCAGCCTTGTTAGCTACCCTGCAGGGCAGCAAATCTTGGGGAGTGGACTAAAACTATTAAGGCTGGATCCCAGGCTACGCATAGCACATACTGTAAATTGTGAATGCGGTAGTTTTATTTTTGCAGTTTTCTTATTGTCCCTTTGACTTAAAATCATGATGCCACAAATTCAACCTTCAACTTCAAACACTGCAAAAACCTCCTTTTCTTACATACCGTGAGATAAAACTTTTGTGGAAGTAAGTGCACTTACAGTATATAGAATGTTGGCAACAGGAATGAAAATTACAGTTGAAGAAAGCCAACTTGGAAGAAGATGGCTTGTTTGTATGTCCATTTGGCTCTTATTGCAAGATGTTCTCCCAACCTCCCATGGTCAAGGGCCTGTGCTGCCTTCTCTGCCTGAAACCACAAGAAATGTAGATTTGGTATATGTTCTGTCTTGACTTTCTAACAAATGATAGAGACACAGATGCAAAAAAAAAGTAGTAGAAGATTGTTAACCTTTGCAGACTTGTGCAGCAGTGTTAATTATTTGGGGAGGGGGGGGTGCTGATATGCAATTTTTGCACAGGCTACAAAGAGGAACTTTTCCCGCCGAGGGAGAACACGCTGCCAACCAAACTCCCTCTTTGTAGCCTGTGTAAAAATCAAGTATCAGCGCCCCCCCCCC